CCTATGAGAAAAAGGAGCAGCGCATGAACCGAACGCAACACACGCAAACCGAACCGAGACAGTCGAACCGAACGGTTCGGACCGTTTTCATAAACCGTTCCATCCCTAATACATTCTTTACAATTTTGGTATAATTACTGCTCTAAGCGGGTTCCTCTGTCAGATAACTTCATGTTTTAGAAGCCCTATTTACACTACCCTTTTGAATCCGTGTCTAGATCCATCCAAGCACCGTAACCGCAATAACTGTTGAATGTAAACGGCACTCAGAACTCAACCGGACCGCGGCAGACACAACCAAACGGCGCTAAAGTCTGGTTTATGCTCAGAAACCGGTTCGTCTGCATGTGTCACAGTTAACGCAAAATATGGCACTCTGGTGCACCTCTCCAAAATTGTAGGAGACCGCAGACAGTGCCGCAGACAGCATTGCAGGGATGAGAGAAAGGAGGCCTCTGATTGGTCAATTCTACATCTGCTCCACACTATGCGTATTTCCTGTTTGGTACCTGATGGCAGAAACTCTGGCTGTAGATTAAATTAGATTAGATTAGATGAGCTTTATTGATCTCACAGCGGAGAAATTCACTGGTCACGTGTTGGCATAGTAATTAAAGAAGGTGCAAACAAGGAGGAAAAAGGTGCATTAAGAATAAACAATATATATACAGTATATCAAGGTAAATAAGGATTAAGGTGCAAGTGTACATGTAATGTCGTCTACAACCCCGGGCACACCTCGGACTCTATCCCAGACACCGTGCAGGACACTAGTTTGTAGCTCTGAGCGACGGTCTGTTGGTTTGCACCCGAAGCCAAAACACGCAGCGCCACGGCCAGTCTTTGGGGAACACTCACGGGTGACTGTGTGTCGTCCGGCGTTGGATGAGGGGTTGTAGACGCCAATCAAGCTTGTCAAACCGACACACGGTCACCCACAATCCTAGCTGGTTCCTGATTGTCCCTCCTGCATTGTGGCGTTGTAAGGTTTATTCTTTTATACATCATGTGCATTGTTACTCTGTTAGCCAGATTAGAGAGAGTAGAAGGCCTTCCTTCACATTGTGGATGTCACGGTGTGTACGGAGGTCATCTAATCAGGACAGCCTTCGTGTCTTTTAAAGATACACAGGATATGGGAACATCTTGGAGCCGGTCTGATAGAGGAGAGCTATCTGTAATAATTGGGCATATAGGCAAGATGCATACAGGTCAGGGCATGGATGCGTGTCAGTTTCTGATACGGACAGCTAAACATCCACATGATCCAACACATAGACTCATGAGCTATAAGAAGGAGAAGATGACCTTGTTCGGGGCTCAATCTTTGCCGGACGCTCGTGGACGTGATTTTTGAGCCCACAGCTCCAAGCATTTTCTCTGTCCTGATCTGGAATAAACTCTGTTATTTTTTACTCCTGTTTTTATAGTCCTTTTTTATATGGTTTTACCCAGTTTGAGTTAAGAGTAGTAACTAACTTGCTCCCAGGAAAAGAACCGGAAGGGAAGTCCCGAGGCGCAACTGCCTTCAAGGGGACATAACATCCTCATTTAACAGCGTGGAACAACATAGAGCAGACGACGCTTCAAAATTGGGCATAAATGAAAAATATCTGCGTCGTACTAACTGCGACACGCTGCTGTGGGAGGTTAACTAACTAGTTCATCAGTCGTATCCACTTCCCAAAAGCTGACTGTCACTGCCTTCTTCGCCCAACTCTACGCAAACTTCCTGAATGTTATGGGCGCCGCCATGTTGATTTGTTTCCCTTTAGAGAGCAGTAGTACTGTAGATCATCAATAGGAGGCGAGGAATCGTGCTAGCGTGATGTGTAAACGGTCGTAAAGAACCGAGCTCGGCACGGTTAACTCATCCAAGCTCGGGAAGGATCAGTTTTTCAGAGTAGTGGAAATGGGGCTAGAATCTATTTACTCCAGTTAACGATTAATTAATTACTAAATTAGTTCATGATTATTTCAATAATCGATTCATCTGATTCTTTTTACCTCAAGTTTTATTACGAACAAAAATCTTAATCCCAGCTACATCGTTATGTTGCAGCTCACTTTCTAAACACATAGACTAGTAAACAATGTTTTCCGAGTCGGAAACCTTATATATAATTATCTAATTCATTAATTAATATGAAACGTCCAACATTTTCTGATAACAGCAGAGTTTGATGGTTTAGATCATTAAGAGTTACTTTAGTTACTTTTCCTAGTAACTATTTGCTTTGTGCAGTAACTATAAATTAGAACTAGTCACTGGTTACCAAACCATGTGATGTTACGTACCGTTTAAACAATGATATTAATTATAAAAGGTGTCGGTTCGATGGAGCAGCATCAATCCAGCGACTGTCCTGATGTAACTGTTAATGGTTTCATTCACATGTCGACGCTTTATTACACCCCTTCTGTGAAGCTTTTTTAATTGATTAATAAAATAATCTATGAAATCAAAGCTCTGATTTCAAGGATCAGTAAACGCGACGGCGGCTCAGGCACCCACCTCACTCCAGAGTCCTCGGCGTTGCGGATGGCGGAGAGCTGCTCGGTGAACAGAGGGTCGACCTTGGTGTGGATGGAGACCAGCTGACCCAGAGCCTCGGCGGCCCGCAGCCTCACTGCGCGGCTGGAGTCCTGCAGCGCCTTCAGGAAGGTGGTCTGCAGCTGCGGCAGGAAGGGCTTCAGGGCGATTCCCACCTGAGGGAGACACTCAGCCGGTCAGACACGCGCAGCGCACGCTCTGCTGACCCGATGACTCAGCAGCGAAGCAGCCTGACCTTGGCTAGCAGCAGGGTGAGGGTCTCCAGCAGAGCCGTCTTCACCGTCCAGGCGAAACGGTCTCCCAGGATGCGGATCAGAGGTCCTGTGATGTTTACGACCGACGGCCGCAGAGCTTCAGGAGACGTCAGTCTGATGACGCCGCCCAGGGCTTTGGCTGCTTCCTCCTTCTGCTCGGGGCTTCCTGTGAGGACGCCTTCTCTCAGGACTGACAGGATACACGTCACACCCTGGGTTCACACAAAAACTAAATCTCAGCGCTGCCAAAAACCATTCGCCAAGAATCTAAATTGCAAATACTTTTACCGAATAATTAGATTTTGCTTTTGCACTAAACAGCAGCTTGTAAATGTTTTACTTAAAGCGTAAACTGCTGAAGAGTCAATGAGTCGATGCAATCAGCTGGTTTTTATTAGAAAACATTGAACCAATCTGACTGGATGATCTGATTGAATTGTAAAGTGTCTTGAGATGACATGCGTGACTTGGAATTATAGAAATAAACTGAATAGAATTGAATAAACTGTGTGAATTTGATAAAAGGAGCAGCAGTGAGTTGCAGCCATCTGTGAACCGGCCTGGTTCGGAGCCACAGTCTTGTGGTTTTAGGTTTTTCTCACATGAACGTCTCTGAAGGCAACAGTGGTCAATCAGGCCTGAACTTCAACCACCTCTTGTACCAGTTGGGTTATTTCTTTTCTACAGATCTGTGACTGAAAGGTTTCCTGTTTTAAGGAGCTTAGAAAAGCTTTCTAACTACAGCAGTGACCTTTAACCCTGCCCTTTGAGGCTTTTTTTCTTGTTTTAGTTCTTACCTTTTTGGGCAGACAGAACCCAGGCAGGTGCTGACCTTTGACATCAGCAGCAACGGCTCGAATGTCTCGATGCAGGTCGTCGATCAGAGCCAGCTGGCTGCTGGCATCCAGCTTCTGCAGAGCAAACGGAGAAAGTTCACGGCTGGATTCAGGAAGCGGCACCGGCCTCATGTTAACGCCCCTCCCCCTCTACGGACCTTGGTGATGGAGTTGATGGTGTCCCAGCTCTGGGAGAGGACCTCTGCGTTGGAGTCGTTCAGCAGGCGGATCAGGCCCGACAGCAGCGTGCGAATGTGAGCGCTGTAATCCAGGCGAGTACGAGCAAAGTAAGCATTTAAGACGGTGATGGCGGCCTGTCGGAGGCCAGGGTCGGCGCCTCGCGTCGCCTCCAGCAGGTCTTCGATGATGATCCTCTGACCTGCCTCGTCCTCCACTGACAGGATGACGGTCTGACAGCTGCAAAGCTCCTGAAACGGCAGACAGGTCGTCCTTTAAAGCAAGCAGCAGGAGGCGATCCGATCCTACAGTCGAAGAAGCGGCGGGTTTACCTGAGCTTCCTCCTCCGTTCCCAGCTTCCCCTTCAGGGAGGAGAGCAGAGCGGGCAGGATGACGCCAAGGTGACGCGTCAGAGCATCTCCGGCCACCGCAGAGAGGAAGGCCAGCACACGGGTGTTCACAGGAGGAGCGGTCAGCTGGAGCAAAGGAGACAGACTTTAACCCCTTAACCCTCGAACCCGGTACAGGGCCCAACTGACACCAGCCGATGTTTATCTATTTATAGAAATGACCAAAACAGTCACATGGTCCCAAGTTTCTAAAACATGTTTCAAAATAAATTTTTTCACAAATAGTTTTTGTTTTATAGCCGCATAAACAAATTAAATGAGATTTTAAAAAAACACCTGACGTGTGTCTCTGCGACAGTAACGTAACAGCA